TTTTTGGGGATGCATTGTGCAGCTTTCACTGCCAGATCTCAAGGATCTGAGTAAATGTAACACTATACAGTTCACCTTCTTGGGAAAAATGATCAAAGAGTAAATAGATTGTAAATTTCTGCCAGAATAACTCAAAATGTTTTGCCAGTTCCTTTTGTGTTTTTAAATAAATCTTGGTTGATCTGAGGCTCATGCTCTCTTACCAATGTCTGTCATCTTATTTATAAAATTTGAGATAATTTCTCAATCAAATTTGTTAGTGAAATCAATTGAACTACCTGCAGAGTTTCACAGGCTGAGCAGCCCTGAATAAAAATCTTGTAATCTCAGAGACAAGAGAGAGTCATTCAGCACAATAAAACATGTTGATATCACAAAGATTATGATCAGTTTGCATCAAGGAAACCAATGTTTATTGAACTGCTTGAAATTTGGTGAATTGACCAGATACTGTACATAATTATGGATAAGGAGGGGAATTTGACAGCCACCTTGATAATAAATATACAGTTGTTTTATGTTGGTGAATTTTTACAAAGTTAAGAGTGGTCAGATGAGATGAGCAGCCCTAAAAAAAATAAAAGCTACCTTGCTAGTAAATATACAGTTGCTTCATGTTGGGGAGTTTTTACAAAGTTAAGAGTGGTCAGGTGAGATGAGCAGCTCTGAACAAAAGTCTTGTAATCTCAGTGACAAGAGAGTGTCAGTCAGCACAACCAACAGGTAACAGTGTACAGAACTAACATACTTTCCCTTTTTTGAATGATCCAAGGAGAAGCCTACAATCATCACAGTCCCAGGAATTGCTAACTGTTCTGAGACAAAGTATGTGCGCACATTTGCTGACTACGCCATTCGTCATGGCTTCAAAGTTGCTGTTTTAAATCATTTGGGAGCAAAGGAAGAGGGTGGATTGTCCACTCCAAGAATTTTCACATATGGTAATTTTTAGCTATCTGCTCTTCTGTGAAATTTTTCTTTGGATTAATGGACAGTGTCAATGTAATTTGGTTTACAGTCAGTTCACTACCTCATCAAACTCTCCACCACAAAACTTGCCACCACTGAGTCACATGCTACTTAACTGATTTTGGGAGATATAACCATGGATTTAATTTTATAGGAAAGATTATTCTTAATTCAATTTTAGTGGTTCCACTTTAAGGGACTGTTCAATACAGACAGAAGACAATAAACAATGGCTGTTGGGACTCAGAAAAGGGTGACCATGACCCCCTTCATAGAGATAGCTGCTTACTTGGGGTGAAAATTTCAGTGATTAAGGGGAAGAAAATTCAGGACATTGACTACTGGCTGCTAAGATACAAGGTGACTGCTTAAAACAGGTTCAACTTTATAGGGAAAATGGTTCCATTTAGAAATTGAAAAATGTGTTGGACATAACTGAAAACCAAAACATGTTGCTAATAAAACTGGTGTAATAACAATATAGGTGGTACAGAGGAACTGGCTGCCATGGTTTCACATATCACCTCTGTGGGTAATCACCAGCGACTTATTGGAGTCGGGTTCTCTATGGGTGCAAACATTTTGATGAAATATCTAGGAGAGGAACCTTCAAGGCAGGAGTTATTTGAATGTGCTGTGTCTGTGTGCCAGGGATATGATATACTGAGGTAAGAGATCTGCAAATGTGAATTTTAGTCATAACTTCAATGACTTATCAGTGTACCAGCTTGGGAACTTCTTGAAGCTGATACATAAAAGGTTAGCTCCTTGTCGGGGAAAAAGGTTTGCCTTAACCCTTTACAACTCTATAAACAAACATCAGTATGCATGTTCTCTTTGTTTTCTAAACATTTCCTATAGCAAGGAGAGTTAGAGTAATCAAGAGCTTCTTTCATAAGCAATCATTTCCTTAATTCTCGTGACCCATTTTTTAGATTTAGCAGTGATGGTGTGAGAGAAATTGTACACCTGTCACTTCAAGGGCTCAGAGTTAAATCAACTAAAATTCACAGAATAGTTTATTACTGAATATCAAATTACAGATTCACTGATTGAGGTTATGATTAACCTCTTTGACTCTCTGATCCATAAGGGTGACTAGCATCTATTTTCTCCTTACAGTATCAATACTGAATCATACTTTAAGGTCACAAGAATAAAGGAAATGATCACAAACTAAAGAAGCTCTTGATTAAATAATGATTTTAGATATGTGAATTTCACATATCTAAAATCATTATTCATCACTTGGATGGTTTATTTGGACCCAACATATTGACCAGCTCCCAGTTGGCTTGTTAGTTCAGTTGGTAGAGCACTGCACTGGTATCGCAGAGATCATGGGTTCATATCCTGTACGGGCCTGAATTTTTTTCAAGTCCTATTTTCAACTACTAGTTCAGTAGTGGTCTTAGGTGTAAGGAGCTCTTAAATTAATCTCTTGATTGTTAAACAAATTCTCTTTGTCGGCACCCTCAGGAAATGTATGGAGCACAATATGGAAAATATGCATACTGATATCAGGGTTGTATAAAGGTTAATAATTGATTGACAGGCAGACCATCAACTAACTGAGTGACTGTCAAACTAAGTTATGGATTGACTCACACTGACAGACTAAATTACAAATTTAGCTGACTTACTCGCTGAGTGAATAAAGGGGTAAGTTTCTAAAGAAACTGTGGTGCTGCGTCGGTGGGAGAGTATAGCAGGTAATTAAGTGTTAATAACTGAGTTGAAAACGTAAATTAGCCACCGTAAAGGGTAAAAAAGCTGACGTTTCGAGCGTTACTGAGTGTTTCGCAAACTGTCTACCTGACTGATGGATTATGGAATGGATACATGGACAGGTGGACTCACGGACTGACTGGTATATAACAGGCAAGATGACGTTATGAATATTTAACCCTCTATACCCCAAAATCAGTATCCATATTCCCCATATTCTTCTCTATACATTTATTTTGGTACTATCAGGGAGAATTTGTTTAACAATCAAAGCTTCGTGGGTAGGCGATCATATCCTTTATTCTCGTGATCTTAATGAAAGATTCAGTAGTATTGCTGTAAGAAGAAATTAGGTACTGGTCATTCTAAGGGTTGACAGAGTGAAACGTAAACTTTTAACGTTGCTACACATGTATTGTTGGCGATCTCTTACGTGATTTGTAGAGCAAAGACTCTCCTTCACGAATGGGATGGACTACGACGTTTCTACAACTGGGGCATCACCCAAAGCGTGAAAAAGGTACTCGACCGCAACATGAAGGTTTTATTCCAGTGCCCCAAATTTACTTCATCTGTTCATCATGTTCGCTCGTCTTCTTCCCTTGTGGAGCTTGATGATGCATATGTCAAGTGAGTAACATTTTAGAGTACTCTTCAATTGCATGCTGTGAAAGCGAAACCATAGTAACCACAGCAGCCAATCAGAACAAAGAAAATTTCACCGATGGGAGCTAAATGATCAAGCAAACTGTCTGAAGCGCAGAAAATCGTGAACAAGTTGTATGAATCTAATTATTTGAGAAAGTGGCTAAGTTTATTGGCAAATCAAAGAGCGTGTTAGAAAGTGTCTGCGTAACAGAGGTGCGACTGTGATACTGTGTAATTAAGGGGAAATTTGAATTTTTCCTTACCTTAACTCTAGAAAAATGGCGGGATTCCATAATTTGGACGAGTTTTATGCTGTCAACAGTTCCTGTAACTATATAAACCAGGTAACCTCTCTCTGTAGTTTTTGTTCTTGTCTTTTTTCTCTGTTTTGGTATAGTTATCGTTTTCTTCTACGTGTTTTCTCTTCACAGATTAAGATCCCAGTATTTCTTTTAAATGCCTCAGACGATCCCCTCATACCTGAGGAACTGTTTGATACGCCATACAACCACGTCAGTAAGTATTAGGTGTTTGGACCATTAATTGGTGATAAGGAATTCTATTATATGGTCTTGACAGGTACATTATATGCCGCCACAAAAGGAACCTTTTACGAGGCCTTGTTCTTAAACAGGATATGCAGTTTTACTTCTTGGGGGCGGAGCTCGAACAAAGCCCCTCCCATACGTCGGGGCGCTGCGCTAGAGGAGATTTTGTGAATAACTAGGCATCTTGATCGCTGACGGGGGTGGACTTATGGAGAAATATGGAGAAGATCTCAGGCCGGGCTCAGTTTTGTGTTCTAGGGCGAAACTAAAACTTTTCCGTCACTATGCCTCGATCCAGTCAGAGTATATCTGTTTACCAGCAAATTTTTAGGTTGGAAAACTTGTTGAACCTCCGGGGCAGGGGTGAGGGGAGTGGGGTTGCCCACGATAAACTAACATCCCCCCAGGAAGAGTAGTAATACACCCCTATTTGCTTCATAATAGGAAAGCAAGGAGAAGCCTCGGAAGTGAAGTCCACGTGACTGTTAATACTTGACTTGCCTTTTTTCCTCTCTGTCTTTAGAATGTAATGAATCAGCAGTGTTTGTCGTGACTCATCATGGTGGCCATCTTGGATTTTACGAGGGAGGGTTTTTTACTGTTTTCCCTTTGACTTGGCTTGACAAGGCCGTGATACAGTATATCAAGGCGGTTTTAAAAGTGAAAAACGAGGGAAAATTATCATCCTTGTCCGAGCAGGACGAAGAATATGTTAGTGCATCCTAGCATTCGCCGGAAAGTGGCGGTTTTGTATATCTCCTTCGTAAGTTTTTTTTTTACGATCCTAAACTCCAGTTTTACCCAATGACCATTTCAGTTTTGCGTGATCTTAGATTTGAGGGACAACAAAGCTATCGGCAGTGGCCATCATCTGTAATCATAAAGCTGTTCACGATTCATTTCAACTGCATTATGACTGTTGGTTTGTCAAACCTCGGGATTATCTCAACGTAAACATTTTAGAAATTTAATTATTTTTGATAAAACAGTCGTAACATTCGAATTAGGTAGAATACTTTTGTGAAACGCTGTCACAAGTTTAAAGGGAATTAAGGGAAATTTTTATAATAGAAAATATTCTGATTAAATAAACTAGTCACAGATAACTCGTGATGATAATGATATTGACAAACATCGATTAAAAACTATTTTCCAACAATAAAACATATCTTGTAACTAATTCATCAGAAATCAGAGATGAAACCTTGATGGTAAGGCTTCTTGAAAACATGAAAATGTTTATCTTAAATCACGCCAGAAACCCAGTAATTGTTATGTTGTTTATAAAGTTTTAACTTTTCTCCGACAGAGAACCCCTCAATTGCTAAAAATTTCTAAACTACACGCATATATCAAAACTTTGTTTCAACTGACCGCTGTAATAAAGCTATGCGTAAAGCAAAATAACAATCTCAAATTTTTTCCTTGTCAAACTTCGACATCCTTTCGGTGAATAATGTTGTCTTTCATGTCCTTTTATTGTATTTAGTTATTTTTCGGTATTTATGTATTTTTAGCGCATTCATCTTTGCCCAAGAGAAGCTGCAAAAAGTAGAGGAATAATTTAGGAATTGGTCGTGACCATCACGTCGATGATACACGATACAATATTAATAATTATTTATAATTAATAATAATAAAAATTATTAATACACTATATGGACGCATGGATGACGTCATCATTTACAACATTTCGTCATCATAAAGAAACAGATATAATCCATGTTGTCGTGGGTCTGTACTGGGACGGATCGTGGAAGATGTCAAAATGTGGTAGGAATATCGATGGTACACCCGTCTGCGCCGTGTGTGCCACTTTTTTGTTCAGTCCCCGGCGATCTATTCCTGTACGGACCCACGGCATTATAGAATCTGTTTTTTAAATAGACAGCAAGTAGCGTAATCAATCAGATTTCGGCATTTGTGATAGAACACTGATGGATTAATGCGAAAACGAGTTATTACCTTTTTCATTACGGCTCGTATGCTGACACTCTTTTCCCTTTCGTGTGGGTCGTAGATTTTGCTCAAAATATCACACTTTTGTTCTCCATAATTGAAGCCTTGGCATTGTGGAGTTCTCATGCACAGATCTTCACACTGTAGCTTGGATACAACTTGATATGTGACCATTACATCGCCTTTTATTTCTTTCTCCAGTAATGGAACATTAATAGTCGAAGTGATGATAAAGCATCCTGAATTTTGAGCCCTTCGGAAATTTACAGGATCATCATGTCTTCGGTGCTTCGAACCTTACAAAGCAATTTAAGATAGAATCAGCGAAGTCTTGAGAAATCAAGGAATATTTCGCGTGCAATCAATCTCCGTTCAAGAAATAGGAGAAATATGAGTCAAGAGCGGCTAAACGGTTAGAGTGTCAAATGCAAATATCAAATGCATTGTGTACATTCATTATTTATTTCGTCCTCACCCTAGCTAAACGAAAGCTTTTATATCATGGAGCCAATTTATGTTGTCCTTAATATTTCGTTCTAAATGATTAAGAAATTATATTTCAGCGAGAGGTAGTTTCTCGATGTCAGTTAATCGCACGAAAATTAACTTGAAACAAAGTGATAATCGTGCGCAAAGCAATTATTTTAATCTTTGATTCTGGTGAAATAGTCAGACGATTTTTTCCTTTATCACTGATCCCTCGTTTTTTGTCTTTTTTTAAATACATGGTCATTTCCATACCTTTAAGTCTAAGTCCAGCATCTATTCAATTTAAATACCCCGATTTCCATCATTTCCAGTAGCCGAGCACCGATATGAAAACTGTGACAGTCTTCCATAAAAAAAAAATAATATATATATCATAGCATACCTTTTCCTTCAAGAAAAGACGAAGCGAATGTTAAAACCATCACAAATGCGGAAATATCCATTTTCCAAACGCATACCTAAAAGTTAAATGACATAAGCTACAAGATGAAGAGTCGAGGCCCAATTAATTAGTCCTAAAAAAATTTTTGTAAGGTTAATTGAAATCTGAAATTTAGCGGTAAATAAAGAAATGAAAATGTCCCTTCGAGGAAAACAGCAACGTAAGTGTGTAATACACAAATCACCTTTACTATACCTTGATCAATTTTAATTGGAATGAATAAAGAAGTAGTTGGAATTCACAGACAGAAATATAGCACGGTTCAGTATAAACTTCCGTAACGAAACTGCTCTTATGAAAATTTTTGTATACATGTAATTCAGCTTAGTGCTTTTTAAGATCAAAACAGATACATAAGTCCGCAAAAATACGAAGCAAAAAAAATTTAAAACAGAGCTAACGCGGCTACAAAGTATTTGCTTTTTACGATCAAAACAGAAACACAAGTCTGCAAAAATACGAAGAAAAAAAAATTTAAAACAGAGCTAACGCGGCTACAAAGTATTTCAAATAAATAAAGCTACGAACGAGACCAGAGCGAGAAAACTGAGTGAAAACCAATGGAGTAAGATACCTGTTTTATAACATGCCGTGTTCAGCAGCTTTCCATGTTATCTCACGTATAGCACAGATATAATTAGGTCGTGGTTTACATATTCAAAATTCCAATTTGCACTTATTTAAGGGGTTTGCCATCTGTTATCGACTGAATTTTCCCTTGCTGAGTCAACACTGGGTAAACGCTTGCTTTTCCTACAGATTTCCTTCTTTGATTGGCTTCCAGCGTTGAGTAATCAAAGGATACAAAATTGGACTTAATAGATAGTTGATGTTCATGTCAATCTAAAAATACCAATACTTTATTATTTAATAAAATGCACACCGCATTTTATCCACATGTACATCTAAATTCTCAATTTTTTAATAAAAACTAGAATATAGATATTTAGATGACATCTTAGAACATAATTTGCATTGATTGGGAGCATACAAGAACTGAAACTGTGTGACTTATCATGTTATCAACGAAATTCGTTCGACTAACTCGTCCCTAGAGGGCTCCCATATAAGTTAAATTAAGGGACCAGTCAGGAAGCGATCGGATATGGCGGTTTTTTTTTTTTCAAACGTTACGACAAGCAACGAGCGCATAGCCAGGATTTTTCAAAGGTTGGGGGATTACACTGTGCCAAACAGAGGGTACTCACAAGATTGTCATGTTAACCTTTCTACCGTGTCTTCCTCTATGTGACAAAAAAGGCTTACAAAGGGGATCACAGGCACCCCAAGACCCCCTCCTCCTCCCACCCACCTCCCCAGCTACGCCCTTTGGCACAGCTATTGGGCAGCTTGTTTTAGACATAGTATG